CACAGTTTTGTTAACCATGCCTACTAAACCTACCTAATAATTCTGAAGGACTCTAAAAGACTCGAAGGAAATCCCTACACACAATACACATAACGACCAGGGTCGTAACAACGCGCACACACACACACACACACACACACACACACACACACACACACACACACACACACACATTTTGTGTCATGCTGTTGTGCCGCATGTATTTTTGTTTTGCTCTTTTATAACTCCTTGTGCTGAATGCTTTGGCAATACTGTTACATGTCTAATATGTGTAATGTGTCATTGTAAAGCGCTTTGAGTGCCTTGAAAGGCGCTCAAAAGAAAGATGTAATGAATAATAATTATTATTATTAATACTATGTTTAAAATGTGGTCATGCCAATAAAGCCCCTTTGTATTTTATTGTATTGTATTGTTATGGGCCTAGGAACATATTTCCCCAACAATCACTGTCTCCATGTATTGTAAAATCTGTCCCAGGTTCCCCAGAACCCGTCTCAGCTGAAGAACGACATGTTCCAGTGCCGCGGCTGCCAGCGCTACCTCCAGTCCTCTGACTTCAACCCGACGGCCGGGGCGCGTCTGAGCGGACGCTGCCGGGACTGCACCGGCCTCGACAACATCGCCCGATCCCGAGACGACTTCTCCTGCTACCGGAACATCCTGAGGAGGCTGAGGAGCGACGAGATGAGGCTCAACCAGGACGCCAAGATCCCCTTCCTGCTGCAGGTACCAATCACCACAGCACACCCAAAATCAGGGTCAGACCGGGGCTCTCTCACCCGGGTCACTAATCAAAGCAAATCAAACTTTATTTGCATAGCCCAATATCGCAAAACATGTTTGTCTCAGAGGGCTTTACAGATTTAAAAACAGAACAGATACAGGAAGTCATTCACAACACCTCAGCTCTGGCTGGCTGAACACTTCATAGTTTGTTTCTGTTCTCCCTTTCTATAATCATGAACTATTTGCACATACTGTACTTACATGTTGCAGCCTACTTACGCTACCTCACAGGATATATTTTACTTTGAATTATAAGCTACTGTGCACAACTTGTTAATGTAGCAGATGATTTGTATATGTTTCTGTCCCTTAGTTTACTAGATTGATATATTAGAGAGTATTCTAATATCTTCTGTATATTTTATAGTGTGTACATACTCTTATGTCCATATGTATATATTGTTTTTAACTGTAAGGTTTATTGTTATTGTATGAATGCTGTTCCGCACGGCAGCGGAGAGCTCTCCACGTCTTTCAGCCATTTTACTTTTCTCACTTACCTTTACGCTTTTGAGTGTAAATGTAGTTTCTGAGCATTGTGTGTGTGTGTGTGTGTGTGTGTGTGTGTGTGTGTGTGTGTGTGTGTGTGTGTGTGTGTGTGTGTGTGCTCTCAGGTGGAGGACGTGCGGTACCTGGTGGAGGTGCTGTGGGCGTCGCGCTCCGCCCTCCACGGCAGCAGCGACCTCTACAGCCTGGTGTTTGTGCGCTGGGAGAAGAGGAGGGTCTGGAGCCCCTGGAACTGCATCCTGCTGTCCAAAGAGGAGACGTCCGCGCACCTGGAGGTGGACGACGTGCACAAGGTCTGTCCATTCAACATGTATACATCGTCTCCACCTCATGTCTAATCTCAGATTTCAACAATTTCATTAACTTTCAAAGCCGTATGACAAAAGAAAGCATTAGAGCCAATTTAAATAAAAGGGTGGATCTTTAAACACAATTTTTTTATTTTATTATGACTTCCTTAAATGCGCTAACCAAGAGGCTATTTTATCTGGAAATAGTTATAAAAACAATAAAACAAAACATGCATACAGTAATACCTAGCACGAAGGTTAACGCTGTAGAGAAAGACAGAGGACTAGACAAAGCACAGAGGAATTTTAACCCGACCAAACTGAAATGTTCCCGTTGGTCTTAAAGAAGCCATTTAGACATCCTTTGTGTGTGTGTGTGTGTGTGTGTGTGTGCAGGCGTACGAGGTGACGTTCCTCCGCAGGGTCGATCACAAACACATGTTGGCTCGCCGGCACTTCAGCAGCGTCCCTGTCATGGCGGAGCACCTGGAGCCGACCGCCACGCTCGGCAACCAGCTCGTCTCCAAGCCCGTCAACATGGCGACAGGCAAGCCCACCGTCCACACCCCAGCGCGTTCAGCTCATTAAGAAACCCCCCCATTGTGCCCTTCCCTCGCTCTGATCAGCTGTCACTTTACAAAATAAAGTTCATGATGGTCTTAATCCTGGTTTTCACTCATGCACATTTACTAACCAGTTGAGCCCCGAGCCTGTAATTCAGGGTTAGGGTTAGCTTTTATTTAGAACTTAGAAACTTCGCCGCCTTCTTCAAAAATAAAGTTGACACCATCCGCTCCATCCTCTCTAGCCCCTCTGCACCTCCAGTTCCAACTGCTGACCCACAGCCTGGGACAACCCAGCCTCTTCGCTGTTTCACGGTCATCTCTCAGCAAGAGGTTGAGGGCATCGTTAGGAGGATGAAGCCCTCCACCTGTGTCCTGGACCCCCTTCCGTCAGCTCTGGTGAAATCGTACATCTGCACCCTGAGCCCCATGATCANACACACACACACACACATACACACACACGCACACACACACACACGCACACGCACGCACACACACACACACACACACACACACACACACACACACACACACACACACACACACACACACACACACACACACACACACACACACACAGTCTGCTGACCTAGCATACAGGGTCAACAGCCCCCTTCCAGTCCATTAAGTAGTTGTTGGCAAGGTTTTTGTGAATAATGCATGCTGTTGTGCAAACATATGCAAGGTTTTGGCAAGCCAAGCATCACCACATGACAGACTGAACTCACCCAGAAATGAATAAACTGAAACATTGTTAGATTATATTACAGTCAAGTAAGCTTCTTTCCAAAGAGCGAAGGTCAAAAGACATTTTGTGACGACATGTTGGCCGAGTTTACAAGCAGATAAAATTTCCCAAAACAAACTCAGGATAATCTCACTTCCTGTTTTTGCCAGGAACAATTAGGCCAGGTGTAATCTGATCCAGCTCTGTAAATGCAGCGTCAGCGGAAACATAAAAATAAATCAAGGTCAGATGTGTCTCTCTGTACGTTATTGTTGGATTTTGGTTTTGCAACTCAGAATCAGAAGAGGAGATATGTGTGGATTTTGTGTTCACAAGCTAAAAGGGACAATAGCACTGAAAAGATACACATCCTTACTCAAATGTTGACAGCCTGATCTTAAATGAACCTTTCTCCTGAGTAGCTTTTCGAAAAACCTTACAAAAGGTGTACTTATAAGTACTTCTAATGGTCCAATATATGTTGACAATTAAAGATAAACTCAAATGACTCATGTTGAACACCTTAGTCCAAAAACTTTAGTTGGTTAAGCGATACAAGCCAAAACAATGCCAACTCTCCTGGCTGACTTAAGCTTAATATACTGTACATAACTGAGCATTGTATTGGTCTTCTTATCCATCTCTCAGCAAGGATGCCAAATAAACTCTAAACCAGGGGTACTCAAATACAAATCTTAAAGGTCCAAAGAAAATGTTCAATAAGACAAAGGTCCGTTTATTAAGGTCATTCAAACTTTTAAACAATTGCAAAAAGATTCTTAACACGAGGTTGCAAAAACAAAAGTGTCTGTATGCAGCAGTTTTCATTGTTGTTGTGTCTGTGCTTGATCCCTCAGAGTCGCAGTGTAAGAGCTGCACAGTTAAGAATAAAGGCAGCAGCACCCTCTTTCATTCAGCATTCCCATTATTGCTTTATAAATGTCTTCCCCCCTTTTGTGTCCACTGAGATTTGTCAGGCCCAACACATCTTCAACAAACTCCCCCTTTGCCTCATCCGCTATCATGCCATCAGCATCGAAATTACCCCCAAACCAAGGACGCAGCCTCGGTGGAATTCCAAGTATGCTGGAGATTGGAACAGTCCTTCGGCAGCACTCGATGACGTAGCATCCTTGAAATATTGGCTTGGAAGCCAGTTTCCTCGAGATTGAGAAACGGTCAGATAATACATATGAAAAGTATAATTTGCTCAGAGTCCANCAGGGGCCGTTTCTCAATCGCGAGGATACTGGCTTGGTAGTCGCATACTTCCAAGTCACTTCCTTCAGAAACGAAGCAAGTATACTTCCAAGCCACGGCTTTGGAAACCAAAGAAGAATGGAAGAGGCTAACAAGTGTGCCACTCTCTCTAACGGTTTCAACATAAACTGTACCGAAAATAAATACCTCACGATGTCTATCTAATTATGAACTTGCTTTACTTTCACGGAACACATTTTTGGTGATAACAAATGCAACAAAGTAACATATTTACCAACACATGTTCTACGCCACTACATACTTA